TTTTGTTGTTACAGGGTGGACTTTGGACACTTCCATTTGTTCTTCCTTACTGAAAACTGCAAGAATTTCTAAACTTGCTAATTTAATATATTATTTTATGCCAAAAACCTATGGTGAGATTTTAATGCTTACACACAAAACCAGGAAAACAGGGAAAAGAGAGATATGCTTTCACAGTAGTCTCACCTCACACCACATGCATTTTCCATTAGTTTTCTGTATCACATACATTTATTTATTTTGGGGGTATTTCTGTCAAATACTACTTTGTGTAATGGCCTTTCTTAAAGAGAACAGTATTTTCAGCTTAAAGGATGACAGCAGCCAGTGTTCATTAATAATTCCAGTTCTGAGCTGCAGATTTATGAATCTGACTTCCAATGCCAAAGAAAAAAACACCCCCAAAATGGCCTTTTAATGGATTTTTTTTAAGTCCCTGTTTAATTGCAGAGAACAGATTTTCCAAAGCAGAAAGCATACCTGCATCTCTCCTGAAGCATCCTCTGTAGACTGGCAGTAACCAGAAACAATGTTTCCCTTATTTCAAGTGAGGAATAACAGGCTTTGAAATGCAGCTACTTACCTTGGGTATTCCTTCACAATTAATTCAGGTCCAAAAGGTACAGAGTTTTAGTAACAGGAAAAGCGGCCTGTTGGTAACACCCTGGTGCTTGTTCTCCGATACTGTGTCTTGCATGTATTGATACAGCTGCAGTGTAACAGCTTCTCATGCTGGTAAAAAGCACCAGACTAGCTGTTGGTTTCTCCTAAGCTGGGTTCTGCTTTCTCTTTCTTTCCAAGAAGGTAAGACAAGGCATGGACTAGCCTGCACCCCAGTAAGAAGCCTGGTGTCCTGAAGGAAGGAGTAAAAGTCTTATGCCCACTATTTGTGTTTTTTCTTAGCACTTGCCTCTGAACTCTGAGGGTGTAGTTCTCTGCTGGTTTCTCTCAGTCTGCAGAGGAAGCAGAAATCCTACTAAATCAGATCACAAACTCTGTATTTCTTGTTTCAGTTTTTTAACCTCTCTGTAACATACAGGGAGCAGCTCCTTAGGTGCCACCAGCTAAATCACTGTACTGGCAGGAGTTGAAAAGACAGTAATTGTAGCTGTGAACATTTTCACTCAGGACTAACGAGTCAAAAATGGGAATAAAAAGGTACATAAAATTATACAGGCCTGTGATCCTAGTTTGGTTAAAATCAGTTGTATGCAATTATTTTCAAACAGTTGTTGTTGGTCTGTATGTGATTTCAGCTACAAATATAAAATGGCACAAGAAGGTGAGAAAACTCAAGAGGTTTGTAATGTTTTTGAGATTTTTAGCTGGTTTTGCAGCCTTTTTGCTAGGCAGGTAGAGATGTAAGAAACCTCTAACTGAGCAATCCAGTGGAAGAATCAATGGCTCACATACCTTTCCTGGGGTTGATAAAAAAGCTTAGTGTGTGAAGGCATATGGATGCTGATGTTTTCAACCAAGCTCTAGTTACACTAGGCCAGTACTGAAATGTGTTGGTGCAGCTGTTCGAGAAGCTTTCTGTAAGCTGTATAAGCTCTGGCTTCTGTGCAGAGAGGCTTCTGTGAACTGTATTGACTCCTTTTCCTGTACCTAACTGACTTAAAGCACAATAAAAGCAGCGAGAGAAAGACGCATCTTTTACAAGACTGTGTTTCTCTCTGCAGACATACACAAATGTGTAATGGATTTCTGACAATTCAAGCAATCAAAATGTATTCACATGCAATAAAGTTACTCTGAGATCACACATAGAAAAAACCAAAACTGGTGGAAGCTGTATGTTCAGAATGGAACTTCTGCAGAACATACTGGTTTTGCCGATTTTCATTTTAAAAAGAAAAGTCTATGTATTTTACCCCTAAAAATACACTGCTTGTGCAGAGATTTGCAGGTACTCTGCTCCCAGTTCCATCCAGTTACTACTTTCACGTTTAAATTTTTTTTAAAGTGTTCTGCTATTTGGGCAAAGAAAGCCTCCAAATAGATGTTGGAACACAATATACATCAGGCTACATCAAGCTGTTCATCTTGCCTTTTTTTTTCTCCCTTAACCAACCTCTCTGAGAGAGACAATTCCTGAGAGGGTAAGCTGAGGTGTGTCGTCTTGGAGCATAGCCTTTAGAATTCTGTGCTATTCCACTGACTTGCATTGTTAAAAATAAGAATACTGCTTTATGTTTGTGAAGGAGGCAAGAGAGAGGAAATCCGTGCGTCAACAACAGACCAGTGTTGGTAATAATAACATCACATCTTGCTGCTCAAGTCGTTTAATAGATAATTGATGCACACTCTGTTAATCCTGCATCATACAAAATTAGTGTTAATTAGTTGAAGACTACTGTTACCAGTAAAGCTGTTAACAATTCTCAGTTACCCTGGTCATGGAATTTTACATAAAAACACAAAGGGTGGCAGAGCAGTCGCAGCCATGAGTACGAAAGCAAAAGCATTTCCTCAAACTTGGTCAGTCTTGCTTGTACTTGTCTCCCTGGGAGATCCCAGCTATTCCACACCCTGGATGCAGACCTCAAGATGTGCTACTGCTTGGCACCCGCCTTTCTGTCTGGCTTAGAGCAGCTCCTCCTCCATGCTTAGTATTTTGACAGCAACTTTTTGACATCTTAGAATCCCTGTCTGTATCACAGTATACAAGGAATTGAAAATTACATGCTATTCTTTTCTGGTTTTGTCAAGAAAATACTCAAATCTGACCAGTAAAGAATGTGACCACTGAATATTCCTTATACAGCTAAATATTACTACCAAAAATCTAGCTGCCTGCTTATTTCAGCCTCTAGAAGGTTTTTGGTCCAGCTTGCTTATTCTAGGTTAAGTGATGCTACTGCTCACAACAGAATTTGTGCTTTTACATGACTGGTAAAGCTTTGGTTGGTTTGTAAGTCAAACCCCCATTAATGCTCATGTTCACTTTCACTTAAAAGCAGTGTCCATCCTTCCCTCCCTTAAAACTATCTAGGACCCTATCTGGCACTCTGGGACATTTGGTTTGTGTTGGTTAAGGAAAGTATCGCAGATACTACAGAGATTCTTCACTAAAAGACCAGCTGTGCCGTGGTCTTAAAGGCTACCATGAACTTTCAGAGCGAGTAGATAAAAAGCCTTCCACCAAGTCGTGCTTTCGCTGAACTTCTCTCTGCTGCCACCACCACTTCTTTCTGAAGAGATACAGAACAAGGGTTAGCAAAATGCAACTGCAGGTACATGGTTGCCTTATGGAAACCAGATTTTGTCCATACCATGAGTGTCATACAGAAATGTGATGCGAAGAAATGCAAGCACAACCCAGCTCGTCAGAATAATGGTTAATAAAATGACCTGGCAAACAGACTATTTCATTTGGGTAACTGGAAGAAGCTACAACCAGTCTAATACATCTCTTGCCAATATTAACTGCCTCAGGGTTAGGATCAATACAGATGAAGCTCGAATATGGAGTGGATTGGTGCCATAGCAAAAGAACACAACTGCTTGGAGAATGACCTCATTTGACAGAAGCCATTGGTGATGCCTGTGTTTCAGGTGTTGGATTATGCATCCTAACCTAGTTTAGAAGCGTTTACATTACATTTAGAAGCATTATTTCTCCACTGCATGTTTTAACAGCAAGAAGCCAGACACCAGTTGTTGAAGGTCAGTCACACACCTCCTCAGCCTGGTCCTGAAGCGTTCTCAGTAATCACAGAGAACCACAGTTCTCACACCAAGAGGTTCTCTTTACTCAGAGTAAGGAGAACGTCGGACTCCACTCAGCTGAGCAAGCACTAAGTAACCTTCAAGCTGAAAAAAAAAAGGTTCCTCAGCGCATCAGGCAAACAAGGATTGACTTTTGGTAAAAATAAAGATCATTGGAGGGAAACAAAGAGAAACAGGTACACGAAACATGTCCAAAATCATTCGGGTAAGAACTGGGCCTCTCTGCTCGGAAATACTTGACAGGGGATCAGCGTTCACTGCAAGTGATAGATAGTGAGAACAGCAAGCCTGTAAATACTACATGGGTCAGAGCCTAGTTTATTCCAGAGCTGAGCATCCACTTTGCATATAGGTTAGCATGAACAGTAAAGCCAATTGGCACCTACACTTGATTTACCATGCAAACTTTCAGCAAACTCTAAGTAGTTCAGATTTCAGGCCATTTTAAAGTGATCTCTTTCAATTCGGGTGTCAGAATTCTGGCAACTCCATAGTTCATGCACCTATAAAATGGTTTTAATTGTAAGTGCAGAGAGTCACTTAAAACTTAATTAACTATAGCCCTTAAGACTTCTGCAAATGGATAAGACACGTATGTGAGGTGTTGGCTAGTGTATGCAAGTTGGGATAGAAAGATGATTACAAAGCAACCAACAACAGTAGTTTTTCTCACCTTTCTTTCAGATTTCAGAGTGATAACAGAACTCCCAAATCTTGACAGTTCCTGTAAAATAACATTGCTTGTTACAGTGCTGTTGTTTGGGTTTTTTTAATGCGACTTTTTTGTTTCTCTCAGTAGTTTATGTCACTTACCTCAGGAGAAATCAGGACATACTGTGCCTGAAGAATTAAAAAAAAAAAGAGAAAATAAAAAGTCAGTGGAGAAGAACCAGGCTAGGAGAGCAGAAGACCAGTGCAATAACCTTGGCTCCTAAACAGCAAAGTAATTCAAGAACAAACAGGAAGAGCCAAATCACAGATTCAGAAATATAAATAAATATTCTGTTTTCTGAAACCAAGTCAGAATGCACTAGATATTTGTACCGGATGTAATGAATCAGCTGTCATTATGACCTTATGCCCTGATTTCTCTTTCATGTTTTCTTACCCAGTCCTCAGGACAGGGAGATATCAGTGATTTGCAGTGGCGTGTCACATTTCCTGAGGATGCCTGCTTTCCATTGTAAATGTAAACACGGCCTGCTGCCCCACCAAACAGTATCGTGGTGATAGCGTTAGTTCGCAGTGGGGATGTCACAATCATTTCATCTGCAAACATCACAAGGATGACATAACACATCAGAAGTGCAATAATGCTAAACCAAAACACAAGAGGCGGCATTTACATATCTCCAGATACCACAATTCCTATTAATGATGACAGTTAAAATGTTTCAATTTCTGAGTTCCGTGGGATTTTAGAGATGCCTCCCCACAAGGCACAATGAAATACTGGTACGAGTCAATTGAGGAAGCAGACTGTGTTCAGCATTTGTATGAATATGTAGGTGACCAGTCTTACTATTGCCAAAAGTAAAACATTTCACCAATGACCTAGATTCATCAAGCTTTACCTAGTCCATCATTATCCAGGTCACTTAAGTGTATATCTCCTCCAAAGCGAGAAAATCTCCTGTCCCCACTGAATGTGCTGAGCAAAGAAGGGTTGGTGCTGTTTGTCAGGTCATATACCAAAGCCAGTCCAGCTTGAAGCAGCACTGACGATATAAAGGAAATCCTTGTCAGGCTATCTGGGAAAAAGAAGTAACAGAAGTTGAGCATCAGACATAGGAACTCAGGTTTAATACTTGCAATACACTGACAGAAGGTAATACTGGCACTACATAACATGTAATCTACATTACATGTATATAATCTATATTCTATAATTACAGGTAATACTGGCATTACATAAGACATATATGGCACACGTATGCCATATGGCCTACATAACACTTATATAATCTATAAAATGAGATCAAATGTTATGTGGCATTAACACCAACTAGCATAGAAACAATCTCTTAAGAATACTACCAGGGGAAAAAAACGTGCTCACATCAAAGATAGTTTTACATTTTGACTTTCCTAACTCCTTACTGCCTACTGCCAGAGTAAGTACAAAATAGCGTATTGGTTTAATTCCAAGAAGTCTCCTAGCAAATCACTGATACATAAAGAATGCAAGGTGGAAATGCTGCTAAGATAATTTTAAGAGCTAATTTTATGGAAGGAGAAAAACAACACTGAAGTTGATGCATAGCAGAGAGGACTCTACACACAAGGCACTCATAAGTGGTTACAGTCGGGTTTTTGTTGTTTTTTTTTAAATTATGGAGCAATTTAAACTTTCATAGACTAAACTTTGATGGAGTTAACTTTTAACTTTTTATCTGTTTTCTGGTCATACAGAAACAAACATCCCAAAGCAGAAATGGTTTCCAATTTTCAGGACATACCTGCAGTAGGTGCACCCACCACCAAAACTGTCCTTGTGATCCCAGCCACAGACATCACACCACTGGCCAGAGACAAACCCATTCTGCCCATTGCCTGTCAGATTTTTAACACACCTATGTCATTGCATCAAAATAACACTTCAAATTATTCATAATGTCCCATAGTACAGAAGGAGCCCTACCTTGTCTCCAGTTACTGCAAACCAGGGCTTTGTGCTTGGTGGGTTATACCCATACACCTTCCCAACACTCTGCGTGACATCCGATGAGAAGGGATTGCAGCTTGAATTACAATGCAAAATACATTTGTATGTGACAACATATTTTTGTACATTCAGCTAGGATTGCTCCTCTTAAAATATCTTCCCCTTTTAGTTTGGCGTAATAGTGACCGCTTAATGTTAGAAATCTGTTTTAGTAATTCCCATCCTTGTTCTAACTAGTTACACAACATTTAGAGCACAGACTTGGTCTATACATTTCTTTTATCACCTAATACCTTCTGTGTTTGGTTTGCTTTTAAAAATGCTATCTCAAAGTAAGTGCTATATCTGTAGGATTATTTTAGGCATGCTTATCCGTCAATATTTTTGTGCCTCCTCTCCCCCTCCCCAAGAAAACCCTAGAAATTCTTAAACCTTCCTAAATAACAAAGACCTACAGAGGGTTTAAAGACACCTTTCTCTTCATGAGGGTGAAGGCATAAAAATATGAGTTTAATAAAAACATTCAAGCAGAACAAAGAGGAAACTTCCTGAAAAGCTGGAAGTCTAATCTATTACAAATCTTAAACACTGTGGAAGTTGGGCAGAATGAAGGTGAGAGCGAGGTGTCATACACAACACACCTAGCACAACTCTTCCATGTCGGGCTACCAATCAGCAGCAACGTTATGTTCTCCAGCTGGCAGCTGTCAAGTGAAAATCCAAACCAAGCATAGTTTTCTTCCCCCTTCACCATCCAGTTGGCATCCTGTGCTGACAGAAGTCCTGACAGACCAGAAAAATATGAATTACAACCTGGTGTACCCCGGCATATAAAAATATGTTAGCAACACTCCACTGATTCATCCTATGACAACAAGTTTCTATAAGCAAAGTTACACTGTGTCTGATATGGCAACAATTATTGCTAAGTTTGCTTGCTCAGTCAGCAACTGTACTGGCTGGTGAAAGCCTTTAATCAACATAGGCTGCTTCTAAATTCTCGCAATAGACTTCACAAAGTACACAGAAACTGTCAGTTGAGCCTGCTCTAAACTAGGTACTCCTTCTTAGGGATAGGCCAAGACTGAAACTGCTTATCAAAACCTCTATTTCTTCAAGAGTAGTGAGTGGGGGAGCTTCAAATAATTCTGGCTTTAATCCAAATAATTCAATTTGTGTTTTGGTTTTGCAAAAAACTCAGTCAGCAGTGTTTCAAAACCCATTTTCCTTGTGGTTTATACATGAAGTAGGATAAGCTACAGAAATTAAGCATTATTGGAAATCTCAGTTACGTGATTCTGACAAAACTCCAGATACCTGTGTATCCTGCTCAAACCCTATCACCTTTATTTACCTCCATATGTGGCCTTTCCTCCCTCATTCACAACAATCCTCAACACCTTTACTCATTAGCTGTATTCACTTGTAGCATTCCTCTTTAGCCACGTCAAGGAGTATACAGAATGATAAAAGTTCATCTTTTGAGGCACATTTGCAAATTTCCAAGGAAGACCAGTGAGTCTGCCCTGCTATCACCAATACACAGATGAATCCATTGCTTTAGCAAGGCTTTCAACACTGTCTCCCACAAAGATGTTGTACCCAAGCTGGGACATTACAGTCTAGGTAAGTGGGAAAAGCCTGGTTGAAATGATCACCGTCACAGGGCAGCGGTTAGTGGGTTGTACTCTGAATGCCTGTGACAAGTGGAGTGAGTGCCTTCAGACCCATCCAGTTAAACACTTCTATAAATTATCTGGAGAAGTCAGCGATATGCCTGTTCACGAAGTTGGTGGATGACCAGAGACTTGGTGGGGAGCTATCACTTGAGGGCAGCGCTACCATTCAGAGGGACACAGACAATCTGGAGGAACAGACTGTCAGGAACCTCACAAAATTCAGCAAGGACAAATGCAAAGCCCTGCCCCTGGGAAAGGTGATGTCCTTGCAGTGAATACAGGCTGGGGACAGACTAGCTGGGAAGCAGCCATGTGGAAAAGGCCCTTCAGATGCTGGTGGGCAGAAAGCTGAACGTGAGGCTCTGGCAGCAGAGACAGCCAACAGCCCAACAGCACCCCAGGGTATATAAGCAGGAGCACGGCAGAGATTGAGAGAAGTGATTGTTCCCCCTCTACTCCTCCCTATAATAAATAATGTTCACTTTTGGATCCCCCAAAACCCAGTAAGGATGTTGATAAACTGGAGGGTGCCCAAGATGGTTGAGGGCTGGAGCGCTTGAGCTGTGAGCAGAGACTGAGGGACCAGGACTTAGCTTGGAGAAAAGACAGTTTCGAGAGGACCTAACAGCAGCCTGCCAGTACCTATGAGGAGGTTAACAAGGAGATAAAGCCAGGTTCTTCACAGTGTACTGGGGTACTCAGTGCCTTCTGTGCCTCTGACTTCACTGTGCATGGTGGGAGGACAATAGACAATGAGCATAAGCTGAAACAAGAGGGGCTCACTGGCTGTAACAAGACCTTTTTTTCCCTATGAGGACAGCCAAGAAGCAGGACAGCTACCCAGAGTGGCTGTGCAACCTCAGCCACAGCAGGTTTTTAGGACCTAACTGGATAAACTTCTGAGCAATCTAGTCGGACTTCACAGCTGTCCCCATTTTGAGTAAGAGACTGGACTAGACACCTCATGAGATCCCTTTAAACCTGAATTATCCTATGATTAATTAGGAACAAATGAAGAGTCACATAAAATACAGGAGGGTTAATTTACTCGATAAATATTACCTTGCTCACTCCTGTTGAAATAAGAGTAAAATGCAACCACAAATCCTCTTTGCTGCCCATCACCAGGTGCATACGGAGAGCCCACAACCAGATCAGCATTTCCATCCCCATCAACATCAGCTGCCAGGAGGGACCAACCAAGATTACAGTAGGAATACTGCAATAAACAGTTAGTTTAAGCCTGAAATAGAATTGAAACCACCAATTCCATAGCAAAATAGAGCAATTTACTTCTAAAGACCTACTTTTGTCTGCGTCTGATCAAATTACCCTCCCACTCCCCGACTTCAATTTTGTTCTCTTTGTTTTTTTTATTTTGGAGGCCTATGCATTTTTCTGTTCCTGCTGCTGCCTCCCCTGCACTGCAGTACAAATGTCTTTCCACATACAACCAACCTAGGCAAGTACCTGCTTGCACCATCCCCATCAGTCTAAATTCCCTTTTTTAAGCCCATAAGCCCTTTTCCCCTATATCTCACCAGCTTGTGTAGCCCTGTGTTAGCCTGATCAACATACCTGACAAGTTATGGTAATGTTTGGTTGAGATGCCAAGCCTCTTCCCTCAGTGCCAAAATAGACATACACAGCACCCTACGCAGCAGGAAAAGCAAATACAGCATGAGTGCATCTGCATGTCAGCACCAAGTATGAAATCCAAGACAAAGCTCAAGGAGTGAAACAGTTCTGCAAGGACTATTTACACAACTGCATTTTCCTATCGGAGCCTTCTCATTATGCTGTCTTTTCCACTCCAAACCTGAGAATACCTGTGCTGTAATGGTACTGCTATAACCAGACAACAGACTAGAGAAGTACATTTTCATCACACTCTGGGTAAGGAGCAAGGGTGGTATACTGTGTATTTATATTCATTATACACACACTCACGTGGCTTAAGTTTTGTTATATATTATTTACTGCAATGGCACACAGTGGTAGGTACAACAGATGCATGCAATTTTCCAGGCTAATGGGTCTACATAAAAGCTTTTATGTTCCTACTTAGGCAGCTAAGTTAGTTTCTGAAATTCTGAAAAGTTTTAAGCTTAATGGGTTTGGTTTAAACCACAGCATTTTGCCTCTCTGTTTTGTGGGCTGAAAATAGTCAGGGACCATTACACGGGCTTATCTGGTAAGCTGCAGGTCATTAAGGCTCTGTGACTTGATTATTTTAGCTAGTGTGTCTGTGTTCATATCACATTTTAGATATCATCTGTTGAACGCTGACAGCAGCCAACAAGGCTGACTAACCCATGAGGTCTGTTCTAGACTCTCTGTTCCAAAATAAAAAGGGTACACTTGTATTTCATGAATGGCTCCTTGCATTTCCAGCACATCAGTGCTGCTAAGTTGCAATCTCATTTGGATTTCTTATGTGCAAAAAGCCACTGAAAGGGTTGATACGCTGGAGGGAAGGGATGCCATCCAGAGGGACCTCGACACACTCGTGAGGTGGCCCGATGGCAACCTTATGAAGTATAACCAAGCCAAGTGCAAGGTCC